GCGCGTTCTTCCCAGTCCCTGTCTAGATGCTACTGCACTCCGGCTAGAAAGTGCTCCATCTCTGTCTCCCCAAGCAGAACACCCCTTTCTATCTCAGCTCTGTCAGCCCTGGTCCCTGGGCTGCTCAGCTCACACCCAGTGGACCCCTCCTCTGAGCCAGCGGTGGGATAGAGGCAGCTAAGACTACAATTCCTGCTCTCAGGAAGCTCATAGAGCTTGGGGGTGAGGGGTGGGGCAGGGAGAGGGCTCCTGTCTCAGGCTTCTGAACATGCCAGGGGGAGCTCAGAGCCAGGGCACCTGCCCCGCCCACCCCAGCCTCTGCAGGCCAGGTCATTGCCAAGTGAGACCAGGTGCCAAGTTCCTCCTTCTCAATCCCATCCCCAACCCCGAGGAGGAAGCTGCCGCAGGAGCATTGACCTCAGGACGGATTCATGCCAAGGGGTCAGCCTCTGGGAAAGTAGCCCAAAGGGGGTGACCTTTTTGGGAAGAGTGAGAGGGGAATCAGGATGGAGCTGCTCCCAAGACACCTCTGTCCTTGCCCTGCTGCAAATGTCATCCAGCACGACACGTCTGGCATTGCTGGATGGATTAGAAGTGTGCTTTTCTGTAAGTGAGTGTGCGGCGTGCATCTCGGGGCCCATGGCTATTTGTCCACCTGGGGTCTGATTCAGATGCAATTCTGAGACATGGGTCAGCTGTCTGCAGCCTCCTGCTCATGTGTGAATACTCGGTAGTAATCATCCTCATTCATTCATTCATTCATTCATTCATTCATTCATTCATTCATTCAAGTAATAGCATCTCTGCCAAGTGCTCCCCTTGGTTCTGCTTAAACTCCTCCTGAGAAACTCACTGTCTTCTGGGGCAGCCTGATCCACATTGTGACCATCTGACTTCGAAAACCTTCCTATTGATGATTTGAAATCTGACTCCCTGGGCTGACCTTCTGCTGGTGCTCCTGCTCCTTCTGCCCCTGGAGAACCTACATATGGCAGCCCTCGGACAGTTCAAGGTACCCCCATTCCCCCGCCCGCCCTCCTTCTCTCTTTCTTCCCTCCTCTGTAGACATTTCTGGAGCTCCTATGATGTGCCAGGCACCAGGAAAAAATAGTAAGCAGCGGCACCTATGGCCCTCGACCTCACGGTGCTTACAGTCCATTAGGGAGACACCATGAATGGAACACTCACATGGGTAAAACTGCTTCTGGTAATGGCCTACCCCAAGACCAGGGCTGGGTGGCAGGCAGAGCATATAAACGTGGGACATAACCGACAGCGAGGTCAGAAAAGGCTTCCCTAAGGAAGTAGAGCGGTAGCTGCTGGGAAGAAGGTACAGAGCTTAACGAGCTGAGGAGCTGGAGACTCACCAGTATGCAAAGGCTGTGGCTGGAGCGGGGGCCTCCCAGATGCCGGAGTCTTGTTTTGGGGGGTAAACATCCTTGTGGTAGTTCCTCCTATGATGGGCTTTCTAGATCCTTCTGCACCCTGTCACTCTGTCATTGTCCCCTTCAGGGGGAGATCCCCAGGTCTGGACCCACGGCTCCTGGAGGGCCTGGCCAACTCAGAGCCTGGGGGCTGCCCCTCTCTCTTCTAGCTGGCTGCTGTCCTCCCATTAGCACAGCTCAGATCTGCATATTCGTCGCTCCCTAGGGAACAAGTCCCCTCCCAGCAATGCTCACCCAAATCCATCTTACTTGTGCCCCCCACCCCCAGCCTGCATCTGAGCTGTTCGGTATCTGACCTTGCGTTCGCGTCCTTGTGTTGGTGTACGAATGCTCATCTCTCTGATGTGGCCTGCTTGTTCCAGTCCAGCAGAGTCTGTTCTGAGTCTAGATTCTGCTGCTGGCTGGCATGTGCGGGGCTGCATTCCCTGTGAATGTGAGCGGCCAAGGAGTTCGCATGTCCTGTCTGCGTATCCTGGACAAGGTACCGGCAGGCAAGGTCTCAGAGAGTGTGCGGGGTGACCGGGAAGGCAAGAGGCCCGAGAGCTTGGGACGGGGGTTTGGAGGAGCAGCTACTCGGGCTCCAGAGAGACGTGCTAAGGGCCTGAGGCCTACACTATGCTCCAACCACACTGTTCTGTGATCTCTGACCCCTGTCCTGTGCCTTTCTGCAGCCCTCGTCAATGCAGACCAAGGAGTGGGGCCAGCTGCATGTGTGTTTGTGCATGTGTCGTATGCCCACGTCTGTCTGGGTCTGCGGGTGTGAGGTGTATGAATGTGTGTGAGTTGTCCGATTAGGCCTTGCTGGTGGCTGGCACCCATCATTTGCCAGTAGTAACCCTGTCACTCGGGGGGATCCAGGTCACCAGAGCCTTGGAAGAGCTTCCACCAGACCTGCCTTGCCTAACAGCCATACCAGGTGACCCCATCTGCCCTCCTGCCCTCCTGTCTGCCTTCAGGGTCCTCGCTCACCACCCTAGTCCCTCGGGGAGCTGACTGGGCAAGCGGGCAGGACCCCTACCCCAGTCCTTTACTTCTGTCCACAGGTCACCCTGCTGCTGGTGCCATCCCTCTGGCCCCCCTTTTTACCTCATCACTTCCCCTGTCACCCCTCTCCTCACCTTTTCAGACTCAGCTGAGGCATGGACTCCTCCAGGAAGCCCTCCCTGATCCACCTCTGTGTTCTCACAGACTGGAGGCCCTAAGGGGGCAGGGCCCCTGTGGGATTTATTATAGTGTTAGAGGCTAAAATTCAATACATCTTTTTTTTTTTTTAAGATCTTATTTATTTATTTGAGAGAGAATGAGATAGAGACAGAGAGCATGAGAGGGGGGAGGGTCAGAGGGAGAAGCAGACTCCCCGCCGAGCAGGGAGCCCGATGCGGGACTCGATCCTGGGACTCCAGGATCATGACCTGAACCGAAGGCAGTCGCTCAACCAACTGAGCCACCCAGGCGCCCCATCTTTTTTTAAAAATTTTATTTTATTTATTTGAGAGAGAGAGAGCAAGCACAAGCCGGTGGGGGGGCAGAGGGAGAGGGAGAAGCAGGCTCCCCGCTGAGCAGGGAGCTCGACTTGGGGCTCGATCCCAGGACCCCGAGATCATGACCTGAGCCGAAGGCAGACGCTTCGACTGAGCCACCCAGGCGCCCCAAAACTCAATACATCTTATTAGATGAATGAAACAGTAACCTCTCTGGGCTTCATATTTCTTATCTGTAAAATGAAAATAAATGAAATTTGACACACAGGGTTCTGAAGCGGGTTGTGGGAGATGGTGCGTGTGAATGTCCTACTATCATGCTGGGCATATAGCAGATGTCCTGAAACACTCCTCACTTGTTTGCCCTTTAATGTTTGTGAACCCGTGTTCTTTTCTGTTTAAAAATATTGTACATTTTTGGACTCCTTTTGTTTCCAGAGCATGACTGGCTTCTCGGAGCTCAGGTCTCCACTCAAATGTCACCTCCTCCCAAAGACAGTCTTTGACTATGCCATCTGAAATCGCCCCACCCCACACTCTCCACTCCAAGTCTTATCATGACCTGAACTTTTGTCTTTTCTGACTTGTTGATCAACTGTCATCCCTCCCTAGAATGTGAATACCACGAGGGCAGAGACTTTGGCTGATTTTTCTACTCCCGTAGCCCCAGTGCCCAGAGCTGTGCCTGGCAGAGAACAGAGATCCAGGAGTTCCCTAGGCCAAGGCAGTGAAGTCTCTAGGGGACAAATGACTGTGTGTGTGCGTGTGCATGTGCGTGTGTGTTTGGGATAGAGAATGGTGAGGTACCCTGAGGGAAATCGGGAAAAATGGTCTGTCCGGGGCTGTGCAGGTGCAGGCTGCCTGGGGATGTAAGTGTGGGGGCAGCACCTCCTTTGCCTGGTGACCCTGGGGGGCTGGGCTGAACACAAGCCTTTCTCAGCACCCCTGAGCACAGGCCATCTGTTGGCAAGGAGGGACCGGGGTACTTCGGCAGTTCCCCCACTCTGGAGGGACCCGCCCCGCTGCCCTGTGCTGGGACCCCAGGCCCAGGCCTGCCTCTTATTGGTGCTATCTTTCTTCCCTCTGTGGCACTTGCTCCCTTGCTCAGTCTGGCCTTCCTGTCACCAGTGCCCCAGGGGCCGCCTCCCGCCTGCATTCCCTGTTGGCACCAAATGCTCACACTTACAGCTTTAGTGGTGCTGTGGAGCTCCCTGGGTCTCCTGCAGTGGGGTACACCACCCCAGTTGGGTTTCCTGGTGCTCAGCCTCCTACAGCTCAACCACTGTGGGGCCCTTACCAGCCCCCCACCCCTGCCACTCTGGTCCTTGTCCTAGGCATAGTGAGAGGGATTTCAGAAAAAGGTGCAGAGGCTCCTGCCATAAGTGCTGCCCCTCCCACTGGGGAAGGGCCCTCTCTGTCTCCACTCATCCCACTCTCCCCCCAGCTGAGGGGCCCAGCACCAGAGAAACCCACCTGACTTCTGGCTGGGGCGGGGGTGGGTGGGTAGGGAGGGCAGTGAGCGTTTGCATGGACCCAGCTTTGGACCCAGGCCCCTGCCCAGCCCTGCTGGAGTTACCCAGTATTGAAAGGATGCCCCCTATCTGTTTGAGCCCCCCACCCTGTTACCCCGGGGCCCTGCTCCCTACACCCAGAAGGCCCACAATCACTGCTTCATGCTCAGAGCTGTCAGAACCCCCAGTTCGAGAGCTCCCAGCCCTGGCAGGGCCCCAGAATGCTTGCAAGGGAAGGATTTCAGGGTTCAGAGGTTTATGAAGTGTGCTCTCTGGAGTGCCCTGGAGCTGATGTGTGTGTGTGTGTGTGTGTGTGTGTGAGAGAGAGAGAGAGAGAGAGAGAGAGAGATGGACTAGGGTTCTGGGCCCCCACTCCTATTTTGACCATAGAACCCCAAACATTTTCTGTGTTACCAGTAGAGATGCCACTTAAGTTACTAAACAGAAGGATCCATTATTTAAAAAAAAAAGTTTGAAAATCATGAAAATTGGACAAAAGTCCTTTTATATATGGGGAAACTGAGGCCCAGAGGAGCACATAGCTTCTCAAGGTCACAGTGGGATCAGTGGCAGAGCTGGTACCATACCAGACTGCCTGGCTCATAGGCTGACATTCTTGCCAAGATCAGGCTGAAATGTCCCTCTCAGGAGGTGGCAATTGGGGGTGGAGTGCCAGGAAGGCCCCATCCAGAGAAGCAGGTTAAGGTCACAGCCTCCCCACCCCACAGGCCCCCTGTGAAGGGCCTGGGAGAAGAGCTGCATTGGAAAGGTGGCTCAATTCTTAACTGGACGCTTGAGGTTTTGAAGTGGGAAGGGGCAGGATGAGGGAGGAAGAGTGGAGAGTAAGCAGGGGACAGGGATTCCTCCTCTGGGGCACTCACACCCGCTCCCCCATTCAGAGCACCAAAGGCCCTCCTGCCAGTTTGAGATTGCCTCTACATTCTTTTTTTTTTTTTTTTAAGATTTTATTTATTTGATAGAGAGACACAGCGAGAGAGGTAACACAAGCAGGGGGAGTGGGAGAGGGAGAAGCTGGTTTCCCACTGAGCAGGGAGCCTGATGTGGGGCTTGATCCCAGGACCCTGGGATCATGACCTGAGCTGAAGGCAGGCACTTAACAACTGACCACCCAGGTGACCCCCCCCCTTTTTTTAAGAGAGACTGCTTCTACATTCTTCCATGGTCATTCTGATAGGTCTCCATAGGAGGAGGAAGACTGCTCCAGGGGTCCCCCCCCACCCCACAGCCGTGACCCACTGGAAGCAGCCTCTGACCCCAAGCACCTGAGTTCCAAGCAGAGGGAGCTTGGGCCAGGCATAGAGGGGGGCTGGGTGGCCTTGAGGTGATGACTTCTGCAGTGGGGAAGTTGCGAAGAAGGGGGTGGGGATTTCAGTCTCAGGGTTCCTGTGGACACCCCCCTACTGACAACAGCAGAAATGGCACAGTAGGGGGCCCTATGGCACTCACCATGTCTCCTCTCAGTGTCCAGATGGGCACCTGGGAAAATGCTACTGGATGAAAGAATGTGTCCATCTCCCCCCAGGCCCCCCATAGTCACCAGCCCCTCCCTCTCCCCACACCTCTGTCCTTTAGAGACTACAAGGACTGAGTTATTCTTAGTAGGTTTCATTCATCAAAGCGTGACAAACGGTGTCCTGGGAGGAATGCCTGGGTGCTGCCAGAGCCAGAGGGCTAGGGTGGGGTGCAAAGGCCCCATCTCAGGCGAGAATCCAGTGCCTTCAAGGAGCTCCAGACGGAGGGGGAGACACAGCCCTGCCCTCAGGGAGCCCCAGTCTGAGAGGGGACACAGTCCTGTCCTCAGAGAGTCCCAGTATGGGGAGGGGGAGACACAGCCCTGCCCTCAGGGAGCCTCAGTCTGAGGGGGAGACACAGCCCTGCCGTCGAGGAGCTTCCTGTGATGGAGGATACTACCCCCACACCCCAGTCCCCTAGCCCTCAGTAAGATCCTAGACTAAAGGGAGAGATCCAACATCCTGCCCTCAAGGAACCTTTAGTTGCGTGGCAGAAAAACTGCTACCATCCCTGCTGGGGAAGGCACACCCAAGGCACAGATTGAAACTCAAGATGAAAAAAAAGGGGTATCAGAGGGGTTTCCAGAGGCATGTGCAGCCCCCACTGCCACCGCATCTGGGAAGCCTAAAGGGGGGCACCCAGGGTCACTCGCCTGGGCAGGCTTACCGAGAAACATGCAAAGACCACATGGGGGTGGCGCCCAGACCAAGATCCCGGCACCTGAGGAACAGTTAAAGGCAAAGCCAGGTGGACTGGTTTCAATCAGGGGTCTCAAACCCAAATGCCTTTGGGGACTAGTCTAACCACACTGGCCTTTGCCAATGGGGAGGGCAGTCAGACAGCTCACACTGTCTGTCAGCTCTCATATTCAATACAAAAAAACACACATACTCATTGCAGGCCAAACAAAACCTCACTAAAGATTAAACTTGGCCCAAGGCCATGAGTCTGCAGCCCCCTGGACATCAGAAGAGAATTCCTGATAGAGGCAAGGTTTAAGCCTGGTTTGGATAAAGAAGCTGACAGCCAAGTTGCTCCTCCTTAGTCCCGGCCACCAGGCCTGGCTTCTGTGTCTTCAGGGCCTTCTCCCACCCTTCCTGGGATGCAAGACTTTAGCCACTCCTCACTAGCTCCCTTCTGACACACAGGCCACAGCTGGTGGGCCTCCCGGCCCCCCTGCAGCTCCAGGTCTGTGATGAGGGTATCACCTTTCCTTGCGAGAGGGTAATTTTCCTGTCAGGGGAAGGAGCCTGTGGGGCAGGTCACAAGCCACCCTGAAATAAGCTGATCTGGGAGTTATGGCTGGGTGGCCTTCCCCGTGAAAACCTTCACTTTTCTGTGCCTCGAGTGCAAAATGGGGATACTCTTGCCCTGGTGCCCTGCCCTGGACAGTTACTTTCCACGGGCCTCAGTGTCCCTGTCAATGGCGGGTCCTGCCTCCTCCCCACTCTCCGAGTCCCTTGTCCCTTCCGGACAGGCAACTGGAGAGCTGTCGGCTCACGGGAGGGAGGGGCGGGGCTGCCTTCTGCACCTTGAGGCTCGGGTCTCCAAGTCCTGCACCTCCCCTCTCCCCATCACAGGTGGGGTCTCAGGGCAGTCTCGGAGGGCGACCCGAGACGGCGGCGGGCAGAGCCACCGCGCGCGCTCCTGGGGCCCGGGGACAGGGGACGGGTCCTAATTAGGGCGCGTTGGCCGAGCGCAGCAAAGCGCCGCGGAGGAGAGCGGCGGTGGGTAATTAGAGCGCGTTAGCCGTGCCCCTGCGATCCTGTCATTTCTCCGCGGTCTCCGGGCGTGTGGTGGGAGGTGAAGCGATGCGGGCTCGGCTCTGAGTCAGACTCTCCGAGGTCCGGGTGGGGACGCAGGGGGCGGCAGAGGCCGTGGAGAAAGGACTCCTGCCGCGGGAGGCGCCATCGCCTTCCCCCGGCGCGGAGTCACCTGTCCAGGGGCTGCTCGCCCGGCGCCCCACTGCCGCGCGCACGGGAGGGCGTGGCCTGGGGCGTGGCCAGGAGGGGGCGTGACCCCCGCCTCCCCTGGCTTCCAGGGGGCGCTCTTCGGTCCAGCGGATCTTCCGCGGGCATCGAGTGGTGTCCCCGCACCTAGCCATGTGGCCCGCTCCCCGCGCGCAGGTGGGCTGAAAGAGATGCAGAGGCAATGCGCGAGGCAGAGAGTCCCCAAATTCCGTCAGCGATGGGCAACAGGTCTTAGGACGGCGATAGAAAAAAAAAAAAGAGAGAGAGCTCTCAGAAGGGAGTGGGGACGCATGTTGTACCCGAGCCCTGAAATCAATTCTGGGGGAGCAGGGAGGAGCCAGTGGGGGGCTGAGGCTGGGAGGGGAGTTTATTTATTAGCCAGATTAGCCAGCATTAATGGGGGAGCAGTGGTGGCCGGCGGCGGCAGGGACATAGTTGGCATAGCTGGCATAGCGGCGGGGCCTCCCGCGGCGCGGGGCTCTGACGGCTTCAAAGGGGCTTAAAGAGGCCCGTGGTGGCACTGCCACGGCCCCGCGGGGGAGGGCGTGGGCGCAGGCGGTGGGGGAGAAGGCGGCCATTGTGCACCGAGGGATTAGGGATCTGGCCTGGAAGGAATTTTAAACTGCTGCGAGCCAGCGCCCCAGGACTCCCCTCCCGCCCCACCACTGCTCTCCTGAGCTGGAGCACGCTGCGATGTTTACCTGCATTTTGGTGTCTGGGGGTCCTCCGCCTTCCTTCCTCCCTTAGATCGGACGCATCTAGGGTTGTCAGCTTTGACAAATAAAAGTACAGGATGTCCGGTTAAATTTGAATTCCAAATAAACAATGAATACTTTTTTTTTTTTTAGTGTAAAAGTACGCCCCAAATGTTGTATGGGATATACTTATACTAAAACATGATTCGTCGTTTATCTGAAATTCAAATTTAACTGGACGTCTTGTATTTTTTTCTAGCAGCACTAAAGTCACTGAAATGTCTAACCCACGTCAGCAACAGATTGGGGGGCCCAGAAAGATTCTATGTGGCCGGGTGTCTCTACCCTCAGACTAAGTTTCTTGAAGCCGGGTACTCTGTTTCACCCTTCAGAATGGAGCTTTGATGGTAGAACACGTCTCCATCGGAGTGGGATCTTCCTGAGGATGGGGGCTGAATTTCAGATTGGAGCTAGTAGGTCGATGTCTGAGTCCCCTTCATCACACTGGGCACACCCTGAGGCAGGGTCTGTGTGCTATTGGGAGGGCGGGTCTGTCTCCTCCCTCAGGCAGGTGGAGGGCCCTCCCCCCATTAGTATAGCTCCCTGCCCACAGGGGGCGCTAAGGGCCCAGAGCACTGACCTGCAGATGGATGCGTCCTGGATTTTGGCGCTCAGGGCTGGCAGGTTCTCTGGGATGGATGCACCTGGGGATTTGGGGGGTGGGGCCTCCATCCTGTGTGGCTCCTGACTTGGTCCTTGCTCTGGCAGTGGAGGCCAAGGCCTGCCGGGGCCAGAGGCTGTGGTCGGCATTGTGGGAGAAGCTCTGAGTCTGGTTACCCAGTTTCTGCCAGGAAGGGACAGTGTGGCCCTAGGTACAGAAGGGCCCTGCCCCGCCTCTCCCTATAACCATGACAGCCAAGCCCCCATCCTCCATTAGCCTCACTAAAGCCCGCCGCCCAGCCTTCGCCTGTTCTGTTCTCTCTGTCCAAAGCGCCTGCTCTTTCTGTCCTCAAGAACATCTGAAGTCTCACCACTTCTGGATGCTCTGGCCTTCAGCAGAGTAGGTATGGCCAGGTAGGCTGCTTGGGCCCCGGGGGATCTTATGGTAAAAAAAAGCCCTCTGTCTGCTCCGTCCTTCCTCACCAGCCTGGGGCCACGGGGGCTAAAGAGGGGCTAAAGGGCCAGGGTGGGAAACACGGGAAGGTTGGGGAGTGTAGATGCAAGTCTCTGCCACCCTCTCCTCCCCCTCCGCCCCCTGTAGCCCCTTCCCAAATCCCTTCATCCCCTGGGGCCTCTCAACTCTTTTCCCTTAAAGCTGAGGGAAGCTGGGGAGAAGTCTTTTCCCACGGTCCCAGCCTCAACAACCCCCCACCCCCTGTTCCTTTGGCCACAACCACCTCAGCCGCTGCAGAGCCTGGCCTGGCCCACCCCGTCCCTGCAGGGCCCCCTCCTTGTGCTGGGGCGCCTGCTTCCGCGGGTGGCATCATCACCCCATTCCTTAGCCTGCCCAGTCATCAGGTCGGCAATTAGCTACTTCCTCTCAGCAGCATGAGGCCACCGAACGTCACAGCCCCTCCCCCGGCCAGCCACGGGCGGGAGTGCTGGGGGTGCCCCCCACACTTTGTAGTAGGTGCCAAGTCCTGGCATGAACCCCCCCCTCAAAACCACTGAGCGCTGGGGTAATGAGCCTCCCTTCGAGGGAGCCGGGTGCTCCCTGTGTTTCCTGGGGGCGGGAGAAGCCTCCTCCTCCGTGTCACCCCATCCCATTGGATGAGGACACTCCCGCTGCCTGGGTGGGGCCATACCAGCTCAAGGGCACCAGCGGCCAGAGCAGGCGGAGCCTCAGACTCAGGTGTCTCTGTCCCCAGATACAGGTGGCTTTTACCAGGCTCTTACCTGGGGGCCAGGAGTCTGTGAACTGACGGTGGCAGTTCTGTGGTAAGGGAAGAGAAATGGGGAGTCCTGCTATAGACACCCAAAGATGCAGGGGGGGCAGACTCTTCATGAACACCCCCAGGGGCTGACACACGCGTGCCTGGGCACATTCACAGCTCCAACCTGTGAATGTATATCCCACCGCAGCTCTGCCCTCGTGTGTCTCCGATGGGCAAACCCAGCTGGAGCTACAGCTGTGTGCCCAGAAGCCCCATCCTCCAGACGTGTGTGCACAAACCCAGCAACATTCTCAGACAGGCAATAAACTCACGGCCACACCAAAAACAAAACCAGGACATTGCCAAGAAGTCCAGGAGGGCAGGAGGAGAGGGAGAGACCACCCCCTAATTTGTCCTGCCACCCCATGGGCCAGGCGGTCTTCCTGGGGAAGGGGGGGAGCAAGACCGCACCTGGAGGGGGTGTGTGTGGTGGGCAGGTGGGCTGCCCTGAGAGCAGCTGTGGTCTGAGTGTGGAGGAGTGGGTAAGGTGTGGATTTCCAGAGAGAATAAAAAATGCCAACAAACATAAACACATGTGTGTAATTTTAGGCAGGCCATTTAACTCCTTAGGACCTCCGCAATAACATCTGTAAAATGGGGATGACGAGAACACCATTTAAACTTGGTTGTGAGGGTTAAATGAGATCAGTGGCTCACAGCGGGCCCTAAGCCAACAAGACGATGGAAAAGACCCTCCCAATGTCCTGTCTCTGGGTGGTGGGTTTGCCTAAAAGAGCTGCCCTGGGAGATTAACAGCCCTCATTCTGGGCCTTACCTGAACACTACTCACCTCTGTCTTTCTCCCTTTCCGGTCGGGCCCCAGGCCAGGCATGGTGGGTGATGGGGTGCTACTCCAGATGGGCCTGGGGGCGGGGCCTGGGAGGGGTTGGCTACCTGCCCCACCCCTACCTGTCTGGCACAGCCGGAGCTGAGGGCTGGCTTCCAGCCCTGAGAGGGTATGAGTCAGCCAGAGCCTCCCCATCCAGGCAGATGCTGTGCAGGGGATGGGAGCTTGGGTGGAGGGGCTTTCTAGGAACATTCCTGGAAAAGGACCTGGGAACAGGCGTTGCCGCCTGGAGCGACCTCCTCAGCCTCCCGGTCTGTGCCCAACTCAGCAAATACTCTTGTCCTTGCTTCGCACAGCTCACCCTCTGGAGTCATGAGGCAAGGCCCCACTTGCCCACCCCCGGCTAGCCCCAAGCATCTCCTCAGCCACAGGGAGCTGGGCCCGCTGCCGCCATGCTGCCTTCCCGCCCTCCTCAGCAAGGCCAGCGGGGTCTCCAAAGTCCTGCGCGCAGGGGCACACATGCACGCCTGCTCACGTACACGTGCCCATGGCCACAGACGCACGACCAGAGACACCAAGGTAGACATGTCCTGGCAAGCGCACGCACACACACACTGAGCTCCCTCATGCTGTACACACTCACACAAACACTCGTGTGTGTTCACATACAAACGTGCTGAGTCATAATCAGTGTGGTTGGTTGAATGTGTCCCTCAAGAGATAAGTTGAAGTCCTAACCCCCAGTACCTGGGAACTTGACCTTCGTTGGAAATAGAGTCACTGTAGATGTGATCAGGTTAAGATGATAGCTTACTGGATTAGGGTGGACCTTAAATCCAAGGACTAGGGTGCTCTTAGGGAGAGAGAAATTTGTAGACACAGAAACACAGAGACACACAGGGAAGAAGGTCGTGGGACAATGGAGGCAGAAATTATAGCGAGGAAGTTACAAGCCAAGGAACCCCAAGGATGGCCTGCCACCACCAGAAGCCAGCGGAGAGGCGTGGAAGACTCTCCCTCAGAGCGTCCAGAATAAACAAACCCTGCCAACACCTGGGTTTTGGACTATGGTCTCCTCCTCAACTATGAGAGATTAAATCCCTGTTGTTGTAAGACACCATGTCTTCGATAGTTTGTTAGGCAACTCTAGGAAATGAATATAATCACACACACACACTCACACACATGTGACTGGCTCTGGGTTCAGTGAGGAGGTTGGTGGAGTTCCTCTTGGGTGTTCCTCTGTGTCTGTCCTCCTTCCCCAGTGGACCCAAAAAAGCTCATAGTCCAGGACAGTAACTCAATAGGTTTTTATTTTTAAATTTTTAAAAACTGAAGTACGGTTGAGATACAACGTCATATTCACGTGTCCAGCATAGTGACTCAGCGTTCCAGTACATTACACAACACTCCCCAAGATAAGTAGATGATAAGTAAGATGGTAGTCACCATTTGTCACCACACAACGTTATTGCAATATCATCGACGATTGGCTATATTCCCTTTGCTGTACTTTTCATCCTTGTGACTTATTTAGTTTATTTATAACTGGGAGTTTGTACCTCTTAATCCCCTTCACCTTTTTTGCCCATCCCCCACCCCAATTTGGTCTCTCTATTTATGAATCTATTTCGGTTTGCTCCTTTGTTTTGTTTTTTAGATTCCACGTGTAAGTGAAATCATATGGTATTTGTCTTTCTCTGCCTGACTTATTTCACTTAGCATAATACCCTCTGTGTCTATCCAAGGAGCTCAGAGTAATATTTAATTTCTCCGTGCCTCCCTGGAGTTCTTAATGACGCATCCACCCCCAAATCTGCTCTCCAGAATGGGTTGCCATGTTTATGCGCCCAAAAGACGTGTCTAAGAATGCTATGGCTGCCATAATCATATGACATCAGAAGTGGAGGGGCGCCGGGTAGCTCAGTCGGTTAAGCCTCCGACTCTTGATTTTGGCTCAGGGTCATGGGATTGAGGCCCACATTGGACTCTCTGCTCAGTTCAGAGTCTACTGAAGATTCTCTCCTGGCCCCTCTGCCCACCCACCCCTTGCTTGTGCACATGTGCTCTTTTTCTCTCTCTCTCTCTAAAAAAAAAGTGGAAACAACCCAAACGTCCATCAACAGAATAGATGAATAAGTTATGAGGGACTCGATGGACAGCTACTTGGCCATGAAAAAGGAAGAACTAGCACTGCAGGATTCACAGGACACTCACAGACCTCGGGCCGAACAGACTGGTCCAGACACAGAAGGCATGCCCTCGGAGTGCATTTGTATGGGGTTCAAGGACAGGCGAAGCCAATCTGTGGGGACACAAGTTAGAATAGGGGTTACCTCTGGGGGAGAGGATTGACTGGTTGGGGCTTGAGGGAGCCTCGTGCTGTGCTTTGTCTGGGCAGGGACTACACAGCATATTCATACACACAAACTCACCGAGCTGCGGCCTTAAGATTTGTACAATTTGATGCACAAATCTTATACCTCGATAAAAAGTGAATTTGAAAAACCAGTTTCCAGGCAGTCCATGACCAGAAGCCACAGCAGAGCATCTTCTAGGGTGGATGCCCTGTCCCATGCTGCACCTGTGTCCTCAGGCCTGGGGCCACTTGTGTGGCTGACTTTCCAGATCTTTGTTGACTGTAAACGCCAAGCCTGGGGCTGCCAGGGGAGACTGTGGAGGCCTGTCAGGACAGCCAGACCTTCCAGAGATGATCCATCTTTGGGTGGGAATGGTGAGTGCACGGGATGCTACTGCAATCCCCCATTAAAGACCAAAGTGATGATTTCTTCCACAAAACGCCCCCACTGCAGAGGAATAATGACCTTTTATTCAGCTTCTGCTATCTGCTGGGTAGGCACTAAGCACCTCTGAGGGACGTGGGAGAGTTGCTGCCTCGTAGACAAGAAAACGTAGGCTCTGAAATGTTGAGGTGAATGCCCAAGGTCACACAGGAAGCCCAGCAGAGAGGATTTTGCCTGACAGTTCCGTCACAATGGGGCTCCCCCAGGGCAGGGCTGTGTCTCCACCCTCAGTGTGGGCAGTGAGGGAATAGGGCTCAGATTTCTCTGCAGGAGGGGCTTATCCTAAACCTGATTTTCACAGCACCTTCCCTGCAACTTTGCATACTGACTCTCGCCCCTGAATCTGGCTTAGGGCTCTGCCCGTAGGTGTGCCATCATTTGGGACCGTGGATCGGGGGGTGAAGGAGGATGGGGGGAATCGTGCGGATCAGAGGGACCGGTCCCTTTGGCATCCATGCTGGGATCAGTGCTGGAGGCTTCTTCCCCTCCTTCCCCTCTCTTCCTGGTCAGGACCACCCAGCTGAGCCCGGCGGGAGCTTCCCAGGACCAGGTGCTTCTCACCCTGCCCACGCCTTGCCAGCAGGAGCTGGGTCATATGATGGGGGCGAGGTGGCAGGTGTAATAGGAGCCAGTATCTTCCTCAGCCTGCCCTGTGACTATATTAAGCTCTGTGTCCCGTCTCCCCTCTCCCCCACCCTCAGGACTTTCCCTCCTCCCCCAAGGGATCCTGCTCTTCAGACTAAGGAGTCATTCCTCCTCTCCCCCATCCTGGGAAATGGGCAGGAACCTAATGAGGTCAGAGCCAGCAGGCGAGGGAGTGGAGGCAGTAAATTTAGGCCTTGAGTGCTGATGAGTTGCAGAGGGAGGCCGCCTGCTCCTGAGGCCTTAACACCCCTCACGCTCAGTTGTCCCCACACTGCTGCCCACACGCCACCCAGGGCTCACGAGGGCGCTCACAGAACATGCTCACCTGTTCACCTCACCTGTGGCTGAAGCAGAGGGATCCCTGGGGCTGCAGGGGGGGGGGGATGTAGTCTGGAGGTGCAGGGCATTTGCACTCCTTGCCTAGATCCAAGGGCTCAGTCTGTCTCCCCCCTCCACCCCCCCCGCCGCAGTGGGACTCATCACCCCTGGGGTGAGGGGCCAGGAGTCCCAGGAAGCCCTGCCTTCTCCCCAGGGTGAGAGCAGGAGTCAGAGCAGGGTTTATTAATAAACTTGCTCCTGACTGGAAAGGCCTGGGCAGAAACCCCAACCTCAAGCCAATCAGAGCATAGCTTTCCAGGAATGTTACCCCAAAGCGAGCCTTCCTCTGATTCCAAGATTATTTCCCACCCCTGACTTCATCTGCTTGGTGTGTAGGGCTCCCGCCAAGCTCCACTGGCATTCCCTGCAGGCCCGCTGTCACTTGGCAGCTGACATCTGCCTTGGCCACTGCCCAGCAAAGGTCACAGCGTGTCCATGGTGGGGCTGGGATTAGAACTGCTTCCCCTGTCACCTAGTTCTGCGACGCCCTGCTCCCCCAGACTGACGAGGGCTGGGCCTACCGTGTAGGGAGTGCAGAATGGCCTCTGTCCCACCATGGCACCTTGACACTGGCCTGGC